AGTTTGGCAATAATTTTTTGAATAACTCATATGTTAATACACACTAAAAGTTTCAATAATCATAATTATGTATTTCAAGACTCAAAACTCAAAAAAAGTAAAAACAACGTCAGTCATAATTTTAGTATGATTTTTATGTGGACTTGTCACTATAAAATACATTTTAATAAATAAATAAAAAAACTAGTTCAAGGTATCTTATAATTAAATATAAGATTAAAATGGGAACAACAATGATGTTAGATACAAGTGGGAGTTGGACATATATAAAAAAATCTAAGGTATAGTTTAAATAAGAATAAATGTAAGCAAACAAATAAGAGATAAAATAAATGATTTGATATAGAGATATATTGTGATGGAGTAAGTAATTTTTTGTGAGAAAGAGATAGGAAACAAGTGTCACAATCTATGTAGCTTAAACTACAGACATGGGTTGATCTCCTTTAGGGACCATTTGAGAATTTGAGAGAGACATCAATTGGCTAGATTTTAAATTATTTTAGTGTGGTTTGACAACACATCCTAAACCTTCCGACGACGACGAAGGTTTGGATGCGATTTGTTTTTATAACTGTGATGTTCGAACCAATTTATATGCCTTTTTGTCAATCTTTTACGTAATAACACAAATATTGAGTAACTTTATCATCAAAGCTTAAATAGTAGGAAGAAACCGTCAGTTTGTGTTTGGTGAAATTTAAACACCGATCTTTCACAATACCTATACTTAGTTTATTGACTATTAGATCATATCCTTGAATGTTGAAAGATCGCCTCTCAATGCACCTTGTACCAGTGGCAGAGCCACTTGAGAGGTGTCGATCGATATCCCTTCGTTGGAAAATTACACTGTGTAGCTAGGTAAAAATATACACTCTTTGGCTTCTACGCGATTGTATTTATCTATACTTTGACACTCTTTAGTTGAAATTCTTACTCTGTCCTGCCTTGGGCAAGCTACATGTTATTCCCTTATGGGAGTTTGGTTATAGGAATTAGGAGGTTATCTAGTATAAATTGTGGGTATTAGTTAAAACTATAGGTCAAATTTATAAGATCGTGAGATTATCTATCGCGATTATAATCTCAAGACTAATATAATTCTGAATTAACTTTGTTTGTAAATCAAACGATTCCTTATAAATTGATAACCCCTTCTCTTTTTTGCTTATTTTATAAAAATAGTTATAATTTCACAAATGATGTAAAGAAAATGTCTTAAAGTATTCACTCACTGGTTGGTCTATTTTGGTCCCAAAATAGTTGGCACTGCATGCACATGATGTAACAACAACAATCTTCATGTGATGAACTTTTTTTGGCTATAGTATGGTATATATATATATATATATATATATGTGTGTGTGTGTGTGTAGAAAATTAACTTAATTTTATTTTTTCCAATCTTTCATTTTCTGTTTTGGGGTATTTTGCTAGAACTATCAGAGTTGGACCAAAAGCAAAAATGAGTATCTGGCAATTTATGTGTAGCCATGTGGGACTGTTTTTGTAAGATTGTATTTATTTGCAGGACCAAGAATGGTATGATAGGTCCTAGTGTATATGTATGTAGTTATTTATTCATTGTTACTTTTTTTTAAAAAACTCTGACCAATTTGAGTTTGGTTCATGACTTTGTCATGAGTACAAGAAAGTTCCAAATCTTGTGAGATATAATTGTTGACGGTATTACGCGAACAAAGTTCGATATTGATAGTTGAAAAGATCGAAAGTTATATATATATAGTATGAAATTGTTTGGAAACGTGATTTAAAGCGGAAAATAATACAATATGTTAAGAGTATTTTTGGATTGACATAGTTATTATCAGAACAAATGATTATTCGATGAGACAAGTATGAAAAATGACATATAAATGAATCTTAGAAATGACTTGTGAATCGTGATAATGACTCATGTGGACCTTAGTTTGAAGAGATTATATTGTTGAATGTATGAACAAAATCTCAAGTCGAACTATCCTGTATAGGTGAGGATTCAATTATTTACATGTTGATCATCTTATCTTATAGGTGTTCTAAGTGAATGATGTGTGAGTTTTAAACTATAAAGCTAGAGTGAAAGAATCCATTCTCTTACTCTATGTCTGATATTTACTTTGAGGTACGATTAATTTTGTTAGTGTGTATTATAAAATCTCGATATCATATATTAATGATCAATATTAAAGAAAATATGCAACTTTAAGACAAAAGAAAAGACATTTTTCACAGTGCATTTATGTCAAACTTGGTGTATGTGATAAAACTGAATGTGAAATTGATGTGGTTTGTGGTCCAATGTTGATTTGTGGCCACAAATAAAAGTGATATATATATGATATATATAATATATACAGTAATAATTGAATTGGTCATTTGGCTCTTATCCACAAGTCTTGGATGATAATTTTGCTAAAAAATAAATGTATATACCTGGACCTGTTCATGTGCTTTCCCTTCATTATTCATTCTGTCATATACATATTTAAATACAATAATACACCTAAAAGTGGTCACAGAAAAAGAATGAAATTAAACATAAGAGTTCTGTTTTGGTCCCCCTATTACTGACTACAATGACTATGCAATAGTTAATGCTTCATGACTTATTGGTTAAAAAATTAACATTCACTAGGTATATAATACAAAAAATACAACCCATAGTTTATTTTGTATGTAGTTGTTGTTTAATATAATAGAGAAAAACATACTATTATGGGAATCGTGATAGGTATATGTTTCCGCGTGATTTTTTTTTAAAACAAAGAGACCTTACGAAACAACAGTAACAACATATTCAGTGTAGTCCTACTAGAACATACGAGATACATGTTGAGAACATAATAATACAAATACATGCACACTCTTGTATATTAGATAGAAAAGATTCTCGAATCAAGGGAGTTTTGGATCCAAAAACTTGGGGCAAAATTTTGTGAAAATGAATGAGATGTAGGTTGGCCCAAATTTATTTGGGCCGGCTATACAAACAAGACAAGAGTATTATCACAATTGTAAGCCCAAGCCCATATCAAACTAAAGGCTTTCCCTCTTCTATTTAATGGGCCTCATAACTTGGATTTGTTATAGGACTCAAATTTCAAGTTTCAAAATAGAGTAGCTAAGGACCTTCAACATATTGGGATGCATTTGATGAAGTGGGGGAAATTTTGATTAATGATCTTTGGGAGAAGCAAATAGAGTCTACAAATGCATTCAAAGTATGAGGGCCCAAAGAGGCCTAATTACAAGTGAAGAGCCCAAACACATATTTTGTTTCTTTTTAAGAAAAGTTACAGAAATCACACTAGTTTAGAAGCTAATTGCTTAGACACACTCTAGTTGCAATATTACGAATCTTATCAGATTTTGGTACATCAAGATTCATATATCTCAAGATACATTTGGGTCAAAATTAGGTGTAATTTGTTCTAGATACATTGTATCCAAATGGATTCGTATGTATATGGGATACATGACCATCTCCCTCCCCATCTCGCTCACCTTTCTCCCTATTTTAGTGTTATCTAGGTATATCTTCCTCTATATATGGTAAGAAACTCTTAATTAGTGGTAAAATACGTAATTATTTGAAAGTATAAGTAGAATTAGTATATATGGATGTTGTCTGATTTTGACTTGATACGGAGTTCATGAAAGTAAAGAAGACTTTTGAATCTTGTAGTCTTAAAATAAAAATATGTTGAATATACTAAAATGTCCTTTTATCTTCTGATTTAAAACATGCCAGGTGGAAGTTAGAATTAGAGAGTTGACTTAAAAAGGAAAGAAATATTCTTTGAAGCTAACTAAAAAGGAAAGTAAACAAATAAATTAAAATGGAGGGAGTAATTGTTTAGGCCTCAGTATAAATAATGAATATTATGTCATCTTTTCATTTAGATTTTGTTTAGTATTGTTATGATTGAAGATTCAACTACTTTAGGTGTTTTATTGAATAAATAGGAGGTGATTAGGTTCTTAATGAATTGATTTCTTAATTTTATTATCAGTTTTTTATCATAAATTCAAATGTCAACTACAACTTGATAAAGTTCATTTAATAAAAAATAATATGTGCACTACACCACACAAATGGTACCATTAATTTGAATCAGTCAAAGTTTGTGTGGTTTAGAGTATTCAGAACATTGTGAGTGTGAACCTAAAAGTTTTATTGAAGAGAAATTAATGCATTTGCCAACAAACCAGTTGTCAATCCACCAACTTTGTTTATTATTAAAGAAAGCAACATTACATTTTGGTGTGTTCGATAGGAAGGAAAATATTTTCTAAGTGTTTTTAAAAAAAAATTCATATTCAACTGGTTGAAATGTTTTAGAGAACATTTTCTCTAATACAAGAGGAAAATAGTTGTCTTAATGAAAGTAGTAAAAACCAAGTTTTATAAGTGATTTTTCAAGTTCATTGTCTTCTCCTCACTATTCAATGCCCGCGCCACCCGAATCTCACTCCCCTCCCCTCCCACCCCATCCAACCTCTATAGTGTCTTAATTTCTAAATTACATATAAAGATTATAGAGACAATATTTTCTTGCTTACTTACAGAAACTAGGTAAGAAACTCACTTATTTTTCAATAAAGTTTTTCTAGAAAAATATTTTTCTTCGTACCAAAAACACCCTAGATGAGTTTTCATTTTTTACTTCCCACCCAGTGTTTGGTACTCGCAATGAAGTCCAATTATTCCAAATTCGCGCCGCATAGAATCCCATTCGGAGGAAACACTCTCAATCAAGGATTTTTCCACACCTCAGATTAAAACCTGAAACCTCTAATTAAGGTAATAGCAGCTCCCTCCACTACATCACAACCTGTTTTGTTTGTTCATGAAAAAATGATTTTATAAGAAAAGTAGTAATTGATTTTATTCATGTGCTTCATCATTCATTCTTTCATATACTTCTGACTAACAAAACCAAGTGGTTACAAGAAAAAGAAAGCAAGGAAACACAAAACTCTAGAGAGAAAAAATGGCTTATGCTTGTATTTCCTCACTTATGCAGACACTGCAGCAACTCTTGCAATCTAAATCATCTTTGATTTGTGAAAGTCCCATACAACAAAAACATGTTGAATCTTCTTATCAAAGTCTATGTGCTCTTCAAGTTTTTCTTGAGGATACCACAAATGAAGCCAATGATATTGAAAATCTCAAGATTTTAGAAAAAAAGATCAAAGATGTAGTCTACAAAGCAGAAGATAGAGTTGATTCATGCTTAACAAACATGATTCTAGCTGATAATGAAGACGACCGAGGAAAAGCTTGTAAATTCTTCAATGAAGAATTACAACAAGTTGAAACAGAATTTGATTCTCTCAGGAAAGAGGTGATGGTGATCGAGTTCAACAAGCGTGGAAGCAAATCAACGGAGTTAGCAGCAGCAACAACTTCTTTCTCATCAATCGAGGAAACGACTTATGTTGGTATGAAAAAGACTACAAAGCCATACTGAATTGCCTCAATGCCCAAACAAAAGAGCTAATAGTCATATCACTTGTTGGTATGGGCGGTATAGGTAAGACAACTCTTGCTAGAAAAGTTTTTGATAATTCAACCATTCGTGATCGATTTGAGAAACATGCATGGGTCACCATATCTGAACAATATAATAAGAGACAAATGCTTCTTGAAGTTGCTTCTTCGATTAGTGGAGTCAACAATCAAGAAATGAGCAATGATGAATTGATGGTTATTGTGTATAGGAGTCTCAAGGGTAGGAGATTTCTAATCGTCATAGATGATCTTTGGAGTACCGATGCTTGGGACCAAATGCGAAGAATATTTCAAAATGATAACAATAAAAGCCGAATTATATTAACCACTCGTCTCAAACATGTTGCTGATTATGCAAGTTCCCCTGAATTTCCTCCTCATGATGTGTCTTTTCTAAGTTTTAAAGATAGTTGGAAACTATTTACCAAAAGGCTATTCAAAAAAGATCGTTGTCCTCCACAACTACGAAAAATAGGGAAGCATATCATACAACAATGTCAAGGATTACCTCTCTCGATTATTGTCATTGCTGGACTTCTTGGCAAGATAGGTGTGACATGATAATTGGAAGAAAATTGAGGAAAATTTGAAGTCATTTCATGGTTCGGTTTTAGAACAATGTCAAGCAATTCTTTCTTTGAGCTACAATTACTTGCCCCCATACTTGAAGGCGTGCTTTCTCTATATTGGAGGTTTTCCTGAAGATATGGAGATTCGTGTATCGAAGATGATGAGCTCATGGATAGCTGAGCAATTCATAAAGGCAACAAGCGATAAAAGGTTAGAAGTTGTGGCAGAGGAGTATGTGCAAGAGTTAATGGATAGGAGTCTAATTTTGGGTAAAACTCGAAAGCCTAATGGAAGATTCAAAACTTGCAAAATTCATGATCTTCTTAGGCAGTTGTGCATAAGAGAAGCTCAAATTCAAAATGTTGTGCATTTCCCTTACAGTGATCATGTTTCTACTTACTCAGATGACATAAATGATCGTAGGCGTGTGATGATTCCTTTTCTGATTGAGGATTATTTTTGCGATCATCCAAGTCAAATGAGTGGTAAGATTACAACCCGCAGCTTGATCTTTATGGGAGCTGGTAGATCTTATCTAGTACCTGAAATAAATCACTGGCCTGATAGTATTTCAGATTTCAAGCTACTTAAGGTGTTGGATGCACGTGAAATTGGCTACGATTTCTCTCATATTATACCTCAACTTGTTCATTTGAGGTATGTTGATGCAAGAATTCAGGATCCTTCTTCACTAGCCAAGTTGTGCAATCTACAGACCATAATTATTTATTCAAGGATAAATATTGTGCAGCTCCCGGTGGAGATTTGGACAATGTCAGAGATAAAACATGTGATTATTGAACAAATGGATATGCCTAATCCTCTTAGTATTGAAGAGCAACAACCTTTGTTTCTGAATAACTTGCAAACACTTGCTCTCGATTCCTCGCCTTTTTTGGCAGAAATCCTAAAGAGAACACCCAATGTAGATAAGCTGAAGATTAGAGCTGCTAATACACATAATGAGTGGTCTGATTTTGTTGATTGTCTCATTAATCTACAGAGGCTGGAAAAGCTAAGTATAACAGCAACAGAAGACAACAGTCCGCGCATTCTGTCTAGTGCTTTTTGCGCGCCTAATCTAAAGCATTTGAGATTAGCTGAAACTTCATTGCCTTGGGAAGATATGGCTGTGCTGGCTAATTTACCCAATCTTGAGGTGCTCAAAGCAGATCATGCATTCACGGGAACAGATTGGGATCTAAATGAAGATGTTGTGTTTCAAAAACTAAAATATCTACGAATTAAGAGGGCAGATGATCTGGAAATGTGGGAAGCAGCTAGTGATAGTTTCCCGATGCTTGAGCAACTAGTCCTTCAGCATCTCGAAGAACTAGAGGATATTCCACAAAGTTTTGGAGAAATAATGACACTAAAATTAGTCCAAGTGAAATATTGCAGTCCTACAGTCGATGATAGTGCAAGGAATATTCTAGAAGATCAACAAAGCTGGGGAAATTATGAGCTTCAAATTATAATTGTACCATCTTTACAATACATGTAATGTTTTCTGTTTTCTTTCATTTCTTGTTTTCACCTATTTGTGAACTCTTATCTATCTATCTATACTATTCTAAAGGTAAGAAGTCCCATAGTTGAAAGTTTAATGCCAAAACATCCTCCAAAAATTGATAATAGAATTGAAATCCATCATTCAATCACAATGCAATCTCTCAAGAAGCTCAATCCTCAAATTCTAAAGATGCAATATTTGAAGCAGATTATCAGCCTGTTGTTGAGCTAGGTTGGTTCTTTTCCAGGACCTGGTTAAAAAATAAATACTCAAATTTTGTCTCGTGATAACAGAATTATGACTGAAATCTAAGCTCAGAGAAAATGACTTATGCTTCTCTTTCTTCCCTTATGCATACAATAGAACAACAGAATTATGACTGAAATCTAAGCAGAGACATGTTGATATTGGATTGTCAATACATATGTCTAATCCTCTTGAAGCAGAAAGTCGAGAACAACAATCTTTGTTTCTCAATAACTTGAAAACACTTGCCCTCCCTTCCTGCCTAATCTCGAGCTGCTCAAAGCAAAAGATGCATTCGGGGGAACAGATTACAAACTCTTGTAATCTAGGAATTAAAACTCTTTAATCCCTTCCCCCTTACTGTAGCCACTCTACTACCAGTAACTACTTAGCAATAATCTATTGTCCACTAAACCAACTAACTCTAGTCAATCTAGACTTCAAGAACCCAACATAGCTAACTCTAGCTAATCGTTGTTGTGTTCTAATATGAAAACTGATCTACTTTCTTTATTACTTGGGAATAGATCATACAAGAATATTAACCATTGAAATATAAACCCTAGCAACAACTAAGAACAACGATAACTCTATCAGGTCCTTCGCCCGTTCTGGAGCAACATTTCGCTGAGAGATGCTTTTGCTTTATGTGAGAAATCTATGTTGCAAAAACTTGTTTGTGATAGTAGTGGAGAGTGGACATATTATAGGATGATGAGTGCAAACATACAAAGCGATTTCATTGGTTGAGGGCCTGATGTACCATGGGAGCCGGGCATCAACCATAGCAGGTTTTGCAGGCTTTTAGACAGCTTTAGTTTTCCAGTAGGGAATTCACACTTTCGTCAGGGATCAGGTTCAAAGTTTGTTTAATCAACTTCAGACATAGGTTAAAATAACAATTCCCCCCTTTTTGATGATGACAAACTAATATTCAGCCTCTTCAACTTTCGACCCTTGGTTTCGTTCATTCCCCCTATCATCAGTCCCAATACCACAAGACCGACCAGGTCAGGTCCCTTGACTCGACCAAAACTAAACTGTACTGCCTTTACACAACATACTAGCAATGACATCTCTTATCTTTGAAAAAATCGGGGTCTTTACCATGAGTACAGTATGCAGCTTTGTTTATTAGCCACAAAATGACAATTACTTTCTTTATTAATTCAAATGTCAACTACTACTTAATAAAGTTTATCTAAGAAAAAAAATGCTAATAATACGTTACTACACCACATAAATGGTACCATTAATTTGAATCAGTCAAAGTTTGTGTGCTTTAGACTATTCAGAACATTGTGAGTGTGAGTGTGAACCTAAAGGTTTATTGAAGAGAAATTAGTGCATTTGTCAACAAACCAGTTGTCAATCCACCAACTTTATTTATTAAAGAAAGCAACATTACATTTGAGTGTGTTTGGTAAGCAGAAAAATATTTTCCAAGTGTTATTAAATTTTTTCCTTTTCAACTGGTCGAAATGTTTAGAGAAATTTTTCTTTCTCAATGAAAGTAGTAATAACAAATTGTCTTCTCCTTACCATCCAATGCCCTCACCACCCGAATCTCACTCCCCTCCCATCCCGTCCCCACCCCATCCAACCTCTATAGTGTTTTTTCTAAATTACATACCAATATTATAGAAACACTATTTTCTTGTTTACTTACTGAAACTAGAAAATAGGTAAGAAACTAGTTGTTTTTTCAATAAAGTTTTTCTAGAAAAAATATTTTCCTTCATACAAAAAACACCCTAGATGAGTTTTCATTTTTTACTTCCCACCCAGTGTCTGTGTCTCTGGTACTCGCAATGAAGTCCAACTATTCCTAATTCGCGCTGCATAGGGTCCCATTCGTGGGGAAACGCTCCCTATCAAGAATTTTTTTACAAGGTAAGAGCAACTCCCTCCACTACACCACAACCTGTTTTGTTTGGTGATGAAAAAATGATTTTATAAGAAAAGTAGCAAGTAGTAATTGATTTTATTTATGTGCTTCATTATTCATGCTTTCATATACTTTTGACTAACAAAACCTAGAGAGAGAAAATGGCCTATGCTTGTATTTCCTCACTTATGCAAACTCTGCAGCAACTCCTGCAAGCTAAATCACCTTTGATTTGTGAAAGTTCTATACAACAACATGTTGAATCTTCTTATCAAAGTCTATGTTCTCTTCAGGTTTTTCTAGAGGATACCACAAATGAAGCCAATGATATTGAAAATCTCAAGATTTTAGAGAAAAAGATCAAAGATGTAGTCTACAAAGCAGAAGATAGAGTTGATTCATGCTTAACAAGCATACTTCTAGCAGATAATGAAGACGACCGAGAAAAAGCTTGTAAATTCTTCAATGAAGAATTACAACAAGTTGAAACAGAATTTGATTCTCTCAGGAAAGAGGTGATGGTGATCGAGTGCAACAAGCGTGGAAGCAAATCAACGGAGTTAGCAGCAACAACTTCTTTCTCATCAATCGAGGAAACGACTTATGTTGGTATGAAAAAAGACTACAAAGCCATACTGAATTGCCTCAATGCCCAAGCAAAAGAGCTAATAGTCATATCACTTGTTGGTATGGGCGGTATAGGTAAGACAACTCTTGCTAGAAAAGTTTTTGGTAACTCAACTATTCGTGATCGATTTGAGAAACATGCATGGGTCACCATATCTGAACAATATAATAAGAGACAAATGCTTCTTGAAGTTGCTTCTTCAATTAGTGGAGTCAACAATCAAGAAATGAGCAATGATGAATTGATGGTTATTGTGTATAGGAGTCTCAAGGGTAGGAGATTTCTAATTGTCATAGATGATCTTTGGAGTACTGATGCTTGGGACCAAATGCGAAGAATATTTCAAAATAATAACAATAAAAGCCGAATTATACTAACCACTCGTCTCAAACATGTTGCTGATTATGCAAGCTCCCCTGATTTTCCTCCTCATGATGTGTCTTTTCTAAGTTTTAAAGATAGTTGGAAACTATTTACCAAAAGACTATTCAAAAAAGATCGTTGTCCTCCACAACTACGAAAAATAGGTAAGCATATCATACAACAATGTCAAGGATTACCTCTCTCGATTATTGTCATTGCTGGACTTCTTGGCAAGATAGGTGTGACATATGATAATTGGAAGAAAATTGAGGAAAATTTGAACTCATTTCATGGTTCGGTTTTAGAACAGTGTCAAGCAATTCTTTCTTTGAGCTACGATTACTTGCCCCCATACTTGAAGGCGTGCTTTCTCTATATTGGAGGTTTTCCTGAAGATATGGAGATTCGTGTATCGAAGATGATGAGCTCATGGATAGCTGAGCAATTCATAAAGGCAACAAGCGATAAAAGGTTAGAAGTTGTGGCAGAGGAGTATGTGCAAGAGTTGATGGATAGGAGTCTAATTTTGGGTAAAACACGAAAGCCTAATGGAAGATTCAAAACTTGCAAAATCCATGATCTTCTTAGGCAGTTGTGCATAAGAGAAGCTCAAAGTGAAAATGTTGTGCATTTTCCTTACAGTGATCTTGTTCCCGCTTACTCAGATGACATAAATGATCGTAGGCGTGTGATGATTCCTTTTCTCATTGAGGATTATTTTTGCAATCATCCAAGTCAAATGAGTGGTAAGATTACAACCCGCAGCTTGATCTTTATGGGAGCTGGTAAATCTTATCTAGTACCTGAAATAAATCACTGGCCTGATAGTATTTCAGATTTCAAGCTACTTAAGGTGTTGGATGCACGTGAAATTGGCTACGATTTCTCACATATAATACCTCAACTTGTACATTTGAGGTATATTGATGCAAGAATTGAGAATCCTTCTTCACTAGCCAAATTGTTCAATCTACAAACCATAATTGTCTATTCAAGGAGAAATGTGCAGCTCCCCGCGGAGATTTGGACAATGTCACAGATAAAACACCTCGATATTGAACAAATGGATATGCCTAATCCCCTTAGTATTGGAGATCAACAGCCTGAATTTTTGTACCTGAATAACTTGCAAACACTTGCTCTTGATTCCTCGCCTTTTTTGGCAGAAATCCTAGAGAGAACACCCAATGTAGAAAAGCTAAAGATTAGAGCTGCTAATACACATAATGAGTGGTCTGATTTTGTTGATTGTCTCATTAATCTACAGAGGCTGGAAAAGCTAAGTATAACAGCAACAGAAGACAACAGTCCGCGCATTCTGTCTAGTGCTTTTTGTGCGCCTAATCTAAAACATTTGAGATTAGCTTATACTTCATTGCCTTGGGAAGAAATGGATGTGCTTGCTAATTTACCCAATCTTGAGGTGCTCAAAGCAGATAGTGCATTCAATGGAACAGATTGGACGCTAAATGAAGATGTTGTGTTTCAAAAACTAAAATATCTACGAATTTGGAGCGCAGATGATCTGGAAAGATGGGAAGCAACTAGTGATAATTTTCCAATGCTTGAGAAACTAGTCCTTCAGCATCTCGAAGAACTAGAGGAGATTCCACAAAGTGTTGGAGAAATAATGACATTAAAATTAGTCCAAGTGGAAAATTGCAATCCTGCAGTCGACACAAGTGCAAGGAATATTCTACAAGAGCAGCAAGGCTGGGGAAATTGTGAGCTTCAAATTGAAATTGTACCTTCATTACAATACGATCTTTGATTATTTCCAATTCTTAGTTAATAAATTCATATGATGTTTTCTTTTTTCTTGTTTTCCCCTGCTAATAAAGGTTTGTGAACTCTTATTTGTCTACTTATCTATCTATACTACTCTAAAGATGAGAAGTCCCATAGTTGAAAGTTAAACGAAAACGTCCTCCAAAATAAGGAAGGTCAAGTCATTGTAGAATAGGAGAATCCTCAGTTAATTCTTCATTTGATATTGGATTAGCCACCCTGTTGATATAAACTATTCATTTGGCTGAATATGACAATTTCTTTCTTTATGAATTCAAATGTCAACTACTACATGATAAAGTTCAAAAGTAATAGCTTCCCCCCTGCACTACTCAGCTTAATTCTTAATAACTACATTATGTTCTTACTCCAACTTATTAATTCAAAAGTCAACTACTCCTGAAAATGACAATTTCTCTCTTTTTAATTCAAATGTCAACTACTCCATCAAGTTTGTTAATGTAAATGGTACCACTAATTTCAATCACTTAAATTTTGTCTCGCGAAAACAGAATTAGGACAGAAATCTAAGCTCCGATAAAATGGCTTATGCTGCTCTTTCTTCACTTATGCAGACACTGCAGCATCTCTTGCAGGCTAATTCACCTTTGAATAGTTGTGCAAGTTGTATACAACAACAACATGTTGAATCTTCCTATCAAAGTCTATGTGATCTTCAAGTTTTTCTTGAGGATACCACAAATGAAGCCAATGATATTGAAAATCTCAACGTTTTAGAAAAAAAGATCAGAGATGTGGTCTACAAAGCAGAAGATAGAGTTGATTCAAGCTTAAGAAGCATCATTCTAGCAGATATTGAAGACGACCGAGAAAAGGCTTGTAAATTCTTCAATGAAGAATTGCAACAAGTTGAAATAGAATTTGCTTCTCTCAGGAAAGAGGTGATGGTGATCGAGCTTAACAAGCGTGGAAGCAAATCAACAGAATTAGCAAAAACTTCCTCCTCAATATCAACCGAGGAAACGACTTTTGTTGGGATGAAGGATGACTACGAAGCCATACTAAACTGCCTCAATGCCCAAACAAAAGAGCTAATAGTCATATCACTTGTTGGTATGGGCGGTATAGGTAAGACAACTCTTGCTAGAAAAGTTTTTGATAACTCAATTATTCGTGATCGATATGATAAACATGCATGGGTCACCATATCTGAACAATATAATAAGAGACAAATGCTTCTTGAAGTTGCCTCTTCAATTACTGGAATCAACAATCAAGAAATGAGCAATGATGAATTAATGGTGATTGTGTATAGAGGTCTCAAGGGTAGGAGATTTCTAATTGTCATAGATGATCTTTGGAACACTGAGGCTTGGGACCAAATGCGAAGAATATTTCAAAATGATAACAACAAAAGCCGAATTATACTAACCACTCGTCTCAAAGATGTTGCTGATTATGCTAGTTGTCGTGATTTTCCTCCTCGTGATGTGTCTTTCCTAAGTTTAGATGATAGCTGGAAACTATTTACCGAAAGACTATTGATAAAAGATCCTTGTCCTCCTCAACTAGAAGAAATAGGGAAGCATATTGTACGGAAATGTCAAGGATTACCTCTCTCAATCGTTGTCGTTGCTGGAATTCTTGGAAAAATGGATCCAACGCATGACAACTGGAAGAAAGTAGAGGGAAATTTGAACTCATTCTTTGGTACAGTGTCTGAACAATGTCAAGTAATACTTTCTTTGAGCTACAGTTATTTGCCCCATTATTTGAAGAGCTGTTTTCTCTATGTTGGAGGTTTTCCTGAAGATATGGAAATTGTTATTTCAAAGTTGATTAGGCTATGGATAGCTGAGCAATTTGTAAACTCAAGAAGCGATAAAAGTTTAGAAGTGGTGGCAAAGGAGTATCTACAGGACTTAATTGATAGAAGTCTAATTTTGGTTGGTACACGAAAGGCTAATGGAAGCATGAAAACTTGCAAGATTCATGATCTTCTTCGACACCTATGCATAAGAGAAGCTCAAATTGAGAATTGTTTGCAGGTCATAAATTATAATGTCCACAACTCCAAAGAAGACATAAATTACCAACGACGAGTGATGCTTCTTCTTAATATTGACATGAGGCATGTTTATCTTCCGGAACACGGGAGTGGTATTACAAATACAACTCGCAGCTTTGTTGTTATGAGAAATCCTAATGAAGTTCGTGTAATGTGTCCTATTACTTCATGTTTCAAGCTGCTTAAGGTTTTAGATGTTTATTCTATTGATTACGATTTCTCTCGTGTTATACCTCAGCTTGTACATTTGATATATGTTGCTGCAAACATTAAGGAAGCTCCTTCAGTAGCCAGATTGTGGAATCTACAGACCATAATTCTCGATACGTTAGCAGGCTGGATCTACCTCCCTCTAGAGATCTGGACAATGTCAAATGTAAGACATCTTGAAATTGGACGGGCTATAGTTATGGCTAATCCTGTTGAGGCAGAAAGTCATAATAGTATTGGAGAACAACCTGAATCTTTGTACCTGAATAACTTGCAAACACTCTCTCTCGATTCCTCGTCTTTCTTGGCAGAAATCCTAAAGAGAACACCCAATGTAGATAAGCTAAAGATTAGAGCTGTTAATCTACATAACGAATGGTCATCTCTTCTTGATTGTCTCATTCTTCTACAGAGGCTTGAAAAGCTAAGCATAAGAGCAATAGCAGAAAATGGTCCTCTCATTCTCCCAAGTGCTTTTTGCGCGCCTAATCTAAAAAAATTAAGGTTAGATTGGACTAATTTGGCATGGGAAGATATGGTTGTGCTGGCTAATTTACCAAATCTTGAGGTGCTCAAAACAGAAGGTGCATTCAATGGAACAAAATGGATACTAAATGAACATGTTGTGTTTCAAAAACTAAAGTATCTACGATTTGAGCTCGAAGATCTTGAAAGTTGGGAAGCATCTAGTGATAATTTTCTCGTGCTTGAGCAACTAATCCTGATTGATATCAATGAGCTGGATGAGATTCCTGAGAGTATTGGAGAAATAGCCACTCTAAAATTAATTCAAATAGAAAACTGTAGCTCTACAACAATCACTAGTGCAACGAAGATTCAAGAAGAGCAAGAAAGCTTGGGAAATTATGAGCTTCAAATTCGAATTATAGGTATGTTAAAATTCCATCTTTGATTATTATCTGATTCTTGAAAAAGAAGATCATAAGTTCTCTTTGGAGTGAAACATTGGAAATTTGTAATAGCATATTATCTCAACCATTTATTTATAAATGGAACATGGAGTCTGGAGATATGTGATTTATTACTGTGTTGTCTTAGGATATTTCGATACCTTGTTATGAACTATGATTTTCTCATTTGGAGAGTTTGTATAAGAGTATGAAGTTTTGATAGTTCTTACATATTGTGGAGCTTTTATGTTTATAAGAAAAAGTGAAACTTTTGAGATCTAAATAATATGCATGTCGAAATAAAATTTTAACTTTAAATCAACCTGATTCGTAGCTAAACAGTCCCTGAATTTAAACAAGCATTACACCTCCAATTTAGTGCTCTGAATGTATATACACACACTTGCAATGTAATGAAAATAAGTTAATTGATATAGAATTCTTTCAATGGGGAAGTTATTTAAGAAGAATTAGTTGTAGCTGAAAGCAGGGGAGGAGTTAAAACATGTCGATATTGAACAAATAGATATGCTTAATCCCCCAAGTATTGGAGAACAACCTGAATAACTTGCAAACACTCTCTCTCGATTCCTCGCCTTTTTGGGCAGAAATCCTATTGAGAACACCCAATATAGATAAGCTGAAGATTAGAGCTGCTAATAAACATAATGAGTGGTCTGATTTTCTTGATTGTCTCGTTCCTACAGAGGCTTGAAAAGCTAAGTATAACAGCAACAGAAGACAACAGTCTATGCAATCTCTCTAGTGCTTTTTGCGCGCCTAATCTAAAGCATTTGAGATTAGCTTATACTTCATTGCCTTGGGAAGAAATGGATGTGCTTGCAAATTTACACCAATCTTGAAGTGCTCAAAGCAGATCTTGCATTCACGGGAACAGATTGGGATCTAAATGAAGATGTTGTGTTTCAAAAACTAAAATATCTACGAATTAAGAGGGCAGATGATCTGGAAATGTGGGAAGCAGCTAGTGATAGTTTCCCGATGCTTGAGCAACTAGTCCTTCAGCATCTCGAAGAACTAGAGGATATTTAACAAGGTGTTGGAGAAATAATGACACTAAAATTAGTCCAAATATTGTAGTCCTACAGTCGACGATAGTGCAAGGAATATACTACAAGATCAACAAAGCTGGGGAAATTGTGAGCTTCAAATTAAAATTGTACCTTCTTTACGATATTTGCACTACAACAACACATTTTTTAGCGGCAATAAATATAGATATTAATAAAGAGTGCTAAAGTCTTTACCGGCATTAATTAGGTGTCATTGGAACCAATGTTGCTATATGCTTTAAGGGCATATGCAAAGAGTGCTTATTGCTGCTAAAAATACATATTTAGCAGCAATTAAGCTATTGCCGTTAATTAATTGCCGCTAATGATCATTTTTTATGTAGGGTTGGTTAATAAATTCATGTAATGTTTTCTGGTTTTTTTTCATTTCTTGTTTTCGCGTGCTAATAAAGGTTTGTGAACTCTTATCTATCTATCTATTTTTCTATTTGTCTCTCTATCTATTTATTTGTCTATTTGTATATCTATCTATTTGTTTGTCTATCTATCTCTCTGTCTATCTATCTATCTATCTGTCTATCTGTCTATTTGTCTGTCTAACTAACTATCTATCTATATAGATATATAGATAGATTTATCTAACTATCTATCTGTTTGTCTGTTGTCTGTCTGTCTATCCATCCATTCATCACATAGTTGAAAATTAAATACCAAAATGTCCTTCAATTTGGTGAGAAGTCCCACAGTTGAAGATTGAATACCAAAATGTCCTCCAAAAATTGATAATAGAATTGAAATCCATCATTCAATCGCAATGCAATCTCTCAAAAAGCTCAATCCTCAAACTCTAAAGATATAATAGTTGAAGCAGATCATCAGCCTGTTGTTGATCTAGGTTGGTTCTTTGCAGGGACCTGGTTTAAAAATAAATACTACTTATAACTTTCTCCAATTAATTAGACCTGTTATTATGTAAAATAATGAAATGTCATTAGCCTGAAAATGAAAATTTCTCTCTTTTCAATTCTAATGTCAACTACTCTATCAAGTTTGTAAATGCAAATGGTACCACTAATTTGAATCACTCAAATTTTGTCTCGCGAAAACAGAATTAGTACAGAAATCTAAGCTCGGAGAAAATGGCTTATGCTGCTCATTCTTCCCTTATGCATACATTAAAGCAACGTTTGGTTTGTTGAATCTGCTCATCAAAGTCTTTGCGATCTGCAAGTTTTTCTTGAGGATACTACTAAGGAAATCATAGATACTGAAATTTTGAAGGTTTTGGTAAAGAGCTTCAGAGATGTGATTTGGAGGTTTTCCCGAAGTTATGGAGATTTCTGTTTCGAAGTTGATTAGGCTATGGATTGCTGAGCTATTCGTAAATGCAAGAAGCAATAAAGATTTAGAAGTGGTTGCAGAGGAGTATCTACAAGACTTAATTGATTCAAGTCTAATAATTTTGGCAGGTACAGTACAAAGGGCTAATTCGCATTTTAAGCTGCTTAAGGTGTAATACCTCATTTAGTACTTTTGAGACTGAGAATGGCGAAAGCATACAAAGATAGTGAGGCTTCTTATTAGATTCAGGGTGATAGAGCGCACCAAATATGCTAAGAAACATACTACCAATGACATCCTCTGCATACAAAGATAGTGAGGCTTCTTATTAGATTCAGGGTGATAGAGCGCACCAAATATGCTAAGAAACATACTACCAATGACATCCTCTAATCGGAGTCTTTACCATGAGTACAGTATGCAGCTTTGTTTATTTGCCTCAAAATGACAATTACTACTTGATAAAGTTTATTTAAGAAAAAAAAATACTAATAGTGAGTGTGAACCTAAAGTATTATTGAAGAGAAATTAGTGCATTTGTCAATCCACCAAATTCTTAGTTATCCAATTCATGTGGTGTTTTCTGTTTCTTTCATTCCTTAGTATTATCCAAGGAATGTTGCTCTTTCTTCTTATGCATGTATACACTGCTGCAACTCCAGCGACCTAATCAACGTTTGGTTTGTGGAAGTTGTATACAATAACATGTCGAATCTGCTAATTAATAACGTACTCTAATTTTTCTGTAAGTTTTCCTTGAAGATACTACAAAGCAAACAAAAGATATAAAAACTCTGAACGTGTAGTGTACAACGTAGAAAACAGACTTGATTTAAGCCTACGAAGAGTTATTCTAGCAGATTGCAGAGAGAATCGAGAAAGGGCTATTAGATCAAGAATTGTATTATCTCAACAAAGAGTTGATGTTGATCAAGTTTCACAAGCGCGGAAGCAAAGGTGCAGAAGCAATTAGTACTTCCTCATATCAGTTGTTGGTATGAGAGATATCGGTAAGACTACTCTTGCTAGAAAAACTTATGATGATTCATCCATTCGTTATCAATATGATATATAATGAGAAACAAATGCTTCTTGAAATTGTCTTTTCAATTAACAAAAGCAATGAAGAAATGAGCAATGATCAACTAATGGAAGTTCGAATTATACGTATGTGAATACTATGTAAGTCTTTTCTTTATTGTTGGATGATTCATATTTGTATTCAAGCTTGTTATAGCTCGATCGATCCTTAGAATGTTATGATTATTTTGATATTGTCTCCATTATCTGTCTCATTTTGACTTAACACAGAGTTTAAGAAAGTAAAAAATACTTATAAGAATCACTTACTCTGCAAAGAAGACAGAGATCAGTGTAACTTAGAGGCAATTAGGACAAGAAGGAAGCTAATCAACAATAACTTTTTTGTGATATCTATATATACTAGTAACGAAAGCCCGGGCGCTGCCCGGGCCCAACATTAATAAAGTTATATTGTTATTCTCTCCGTCCCATATTAGATGAGAATCTTACTAATTTTTTTTTTTTCATATTATTTGAGCACTTATTAAATTAGGATAGAATTAATTAATTCTTTTCCATTTTACCCCTACAATTAATATGACCATTCCTATATTGTATGTGTATTTTTTGTAACTCATTTCAATGTGCATTGATATAAAGAAAGGGCAAAATGGTGAAGTCTTCCAATGTATTAATGATTTCTTAATCACCGTGTAAAGTTGGAAGTGCCCATCTAATATGGGACGGAGGGAGTATAGTTTATGTATTGTTATAAAATTAGTAAAGATTGTTATAATATATTTTGCTCATAAGTGAGCTAATATAGAAACTTATTTGTCATTTGTCTTTTTAATTTCAATTTTAAATAACAAATAAATGTAGCGATAAGATTGAGGGTAGAAATGAAGCATATCTTTCTAAATTTAAGTAAAAATAAACAGAGTAGAAGTAACATTAGGGTTATCGATAGGACTATTCATTCGGTTATTTTAAAAAAAATTATATCATTCAATTTTTCGGCTATTTTATAATGTATAACCAAAATTAAAATTTTAAAATCATCCCAATCCTAATATATGTGACACAAGCAGTACAAAAATTAGTCTTTTTTTTGTTCTCTTGTAGATATTTTAAGTTATTATTTATTGTAAATTATAGTACTTTTTATTAAAGTTTTTAATAACATATGTTACTTTTTATGTTTGAGAGTTAAACCAACTTTTTTTTATATGTGTTTTGTCATTTTCCATTTTCAAAAACTAATACTCTCTCCATTTCATTTTATATGTCATTTATTTTTATAAATATATTGGTTATTCCCTCTTCTTATGTCATATATTATGAAATTTGAGAAGTTATTGAAATTTTTATATGATTGTAAAAATATTTTAAATTGTTAGCTATTGTGATTTGTAGTACCTTTTTTTACAGAATTTTGAAAATAATATTTATTACTCTCTTTGTTCTAATTTATGTGGCACATGCAAAATTTCAAATATTAACTATTTTTTATATGTCTCTTTACTATATTAAGTTGTTAATTATTGTATTTTATAGTACATTTTGAACTTAATTTTTAAAGAATATATGTTATTTCCCATGTCCCAATTTATGTGGCATTAATTGATAGATTTGTTCGAGTCGAGCGATTTTTTTTTGTTAATTATTGTAATTTATAGTTTCTTTTTCGTCAATTTCAAACAATATACGTTTATCATATAATCCATTTTATGTGGTACCAATAGAATTTAGAGAGTCAATTATATTTTTTATATAACTTTTAAATATTTAAGCTATTAATTATTGTAATGTATAGTATTACTTATATTATTTTTGAATATATATGTTACCTTTTTAATCCTAATTTATATGGCATTGATAGAATTGAAAGTGTCAAATAATTGTTAATTATTGTAATATAGTATGTAGTACTTTTTATGTAGTTTTTACTATTTTAAAGCATACTAAGTATAGTATTACTTATATTATTTTTGAATATATATGTTACCTTTTTAATCCTAATTTATATGGCATTGATAGAATTGAAAGTGTCAAATAATTGTTAATTATTGTAATATAGTATGTAGTACTTTTTATGTAGTTTTTACTATTTTAAAGCATACTAAGTATAGTATTACTTATATTATTTTTGAATATATATGTTACCTTTTTAATCCTAATTTATATGGCATTGATAGAATTGAAAGTGTCAAATAATTGTTAATTATTGTAATATAGTATGTAGTACTTTTTATGTAGTTTTTACTATTTTAAAGCATACTAAGTATAGTATTACTTATATTATTTTTGAATATATATGTTACCTTTTTAATCCTAATTTATATGGCATTGATAGAATTGAAAGTGTCAAATAATTGTTAATTATTGTAATATAGTATGTAGTACTTTTTATGTAGTTTTTACTATTTTAAAGCATACTAAGTATAGTATTACTTATATTATTTTTGAATATATATGTTACCTTTTTAATCCTAATTTATATGGCATTGATAGAATTGAAAGTGTCAAATAATTGTTAATTATTGTAATATAGTATGTAGTTAAATATAAATAGTAATATATATATATTTGGTGCCATGTGTCAAAAGAAGAGTGAATTTTATTCACTCTTCTTATATAGTAATAAAATATTTAAGCTATTAATTATTGTAATGTATAGTATTACTTATATTATTTTTGAATATATATGTTACCTTTTTTATCCTAATTTATATGGCATTGATAGAATTGAAAGTGTCAAATAATTGTTAATTATTGTAATATAGTATGTAGTACTTTTTATGTAGTTTTTACTATTTTAAAGCATACTAAGTATAGTATTACTTATATTATTTTTGAATATATATGTTACCTTTTTTATCCTAATTTATATGGCATTGATAGAATTGAAAGTGTCAAATAATTGTTAATTATTGTAATATAGTATGTAGTACTTTTTATGTAGTTTTTACTATTTTAAAGCATACTAAGTATAGTATTACTTATATTATTTTTGAATATATATGTTACCTTTTGTAATATATATATATATTTGGTGCCATGTGTCAAAAGAAGAGTGAATTTTATTCACTCTTCTTATATAGTAATAAAATATTTAAGCTATTAATTATTGTAATGTATAGTATTACTTAATTTATTTATATTAATTTGGTTTAACAAAAATGTTTAAGATAAAATTACAATTATTTGTCCTAAATATAACTTTCAATTTATGTTGAGAGGCTAGATTTCACCAATAAGACAAACTATCCATAGACCACTCTGAAAAATAGCTAAACCATCAAATCCTTAACCATATACTATATATTTAGGCCTATTTCTATCCTATTAGAGTAAAATTTTAGTGTAATTTTTTTCTTAACAAACTTTCAAAATAAACAATAAATTAGAATGTCAACAAAAGACATAAGAGAAATAGAAGAAGGAAATTGTTCAAATTATACCAATAATGCTAGTGGAGAAGATTCAAGCCTCTGTACTTCACCTGAAGTTGTCATTGTCATTCAAAAGGTTTGCAAATTCCCAAAAAAAAAAAATCTTAAGAATATACGACGTTTTTTAAAATTTTATTTTTTTGGATTTTGTTATAGGTGATAGCAGAGGTGATCGGAACGTACTTTTTGATATTCGTAGGATGTGGTGCAGTAGCTGTGGATAAAACCTATGGTTCAGTAACATTTCCAGGAATATGTGTGGCATGGGGTTTAATTGTTATGGTCATGGTTTATTCTGTTGGACATATTTCTGGTGCACATTTTAATCCTGCAGTTACTATTGCTTTTGCAATCTTTAGACATTTTCCCTTCAAACAGGTTTTGATTTAATTTATTCTTTCATATTTTAAATCCCTTTTTAAAATTCATCGCCGCGTGTCAAATGGATATTAATGATTCATATGGTCGATCCTAATTGACTTTGAGATTATGTCATAGAGTTTATAGTTGATATAGTTGAAATGTCTATGTTTTGTTTCCTTGAGATTAATAGGGTGTTTGGTGAACCTATAACATTTCTTTGGCTTATTAATGCGTTTGATAAACATAAAAAGACTTGTCAGTCAAAAGTCATAAGTTGGTCATTTCTACATTACGATTTTACTGTTTACACCTTATAAGCATTTTTTATTTGACGATTCTTTTACAATATTACCCATAATATATTTTCTAATCTTTGAAATACTCTTCCTAAAACACAATTTTTAATATAAATTTTCTATTATTTTCCCCTTTCCTTAGCAGGCTCGAGACTAAAAAAATGGTTTGAGACAACAAACATCCATCTTGTTCGTCACTTTTAAATTATATTATTTTCTTATAAATAGTTTCAAGGACATTTCAGTTATATTTTTCTTAAAAAAAAGTGTAACATTAACCTCTTATTAGTTTCAACACTTCTATGTAAGCACGCATATATTTATACTAATAAAACAATTTCGACACCACGTTTAAGTGGTTTGCAACACTTGATGCTTGTCAGCTACTTTTATTCAGCTAAGCCAAACACTATATCAAAAATAATTTTTAGCAGCAATTATTAACGGCACACAAAAACTTAATTGCCGTTAAATATGTTTTTTAGAGGCATTTATCACTCTTTGTAAATGTTCCTAAAGCCTATAGAGACATTGAATCTAATGTCAATTAACTAATATCAATAAAAGTTTTATCACTCTTTGTTAATGTGCATATTTATTGCCGATAAAAGCTATTTTTGCTGAAATGGACTCTAAATTTGGTTTGTTATGTCTATTTTAGGTGCCATTATACATAATGGCACAATTGGTTGGGGCAATTCTTGGAAGTGGAACATTGTACTTGTTGCTGGATTTGAAAACACAAGCATTTTTTGGAACAACACCAGTTGGATCAAATGTTCAATCTTTGATTCTTGAATTCATCATTTCTTACCTATTAATGTTTGTCATTTCTGGTGTTGCTACTGACAATAGATCAGTGAGTAATTTTTTCTTACTTTTTGATATATTTATAATGATTTTTTTAAAATAAATTTGAGGTTGACAAATATATTTTAATTTTTGAACAGATTGGAGAGCTAGCAGGAATTGCTATTGGAATGACTATACTCCTAAATGTTTTGATTGCAGGGTAATTTTTATTATTTATTTCTCCTAAAATTTCTTTTTCTTTCCATACGTGTTTATAAACATTTTCAACTTATAGCTTGAGGGATAAAGATATCTCAACTCTCAAGTACAACTATAGTTGTGTACAATTATAGGCAACTTTGGAGAAACGGTAAAATTGTCTTTGTGTTATCTATAATTTAAGGGTTTGAGTTGTGGAATTAGCTAATATTTGTGTTAAGATAGACTAGTTGCATCACACTTCCTTAGGATGCGATTCTTCCCCCTATTCGGAATAAATGCGGAATACTCACTCAATTGCCTTTTAAAAAAAAAAACTATTTTTAACCAGAATGAAACATTTATATATCATGTATAAGTTGTACCATGGCATAACATATGAGTAAGCCATCTACGGGGAGAGTGGTGGGACAGATGAGATCCTATACTCTTACACCTTAATAATAAGGAGTGTCATATATAATGCGAATCTGAATTAATCAAGTCAGTAAATTTCAACATATCGAATGGCTAAAGAAAAAAAAAGTAAGAGTTAAGTCAATACAAATATTTCTTTTCTCCACCCCACCCCAACCTCGGATCAATAGTGTTTTCATTTCTCCTCGAGTATGACTCGAACCTTCAACCTAACCTATACAAATACAATTGGGCTTTGCTACAAATTCTAAAGGCCCATCTTTAATTCCTTTTTTGCAGGCCAGTATCAGGAGCATCAATGAACCCAGCAAGAAGTATTGGGCCAGCAATTGTGATGCATCATTATAAAGGGCTTTGGGTTTACATAATTGGGCCTATATTAGGTACAATATGTGGTGCTTTCACATATAACCTAATTAGGTTTACAGAAAAACCACTTAAAGAACTAACTCTCACTAAAACTACAACATTTCTTAAGAGCATGTCCAGAAAATAATTAATTTCCATTTTTCTTAATTAATTTTAAAAAAAAATCTCTGAGCCCTGTGGCTTAAAATAAAATTAAGCCACTAGTGGCTTGTTAAGAGAAAAAAAAATAGAATTATTGGAAATTTAAGTATAGAAGTAACAATTTTCTTTTAATTTTATTTATTGGGTGTATGAAACCTGTAGTTTTTTTTGTTCAAATGTAAGATACTGAAATTGAATTGATCTTCTTGTGTAGTTTCTTTTTTACTTAATTCATTTATTTTACTTTCTTCTTTTATATAGTATTTTAATTTTTCGAATTTCAAGAATTGAGGGGAAGATATGTTTAATATAGTTATAACTCTCGTTATTTATTTCATTCTTTTTTAAATTCATTCACTTCAATTTTGGTTCTGAGTCGGCTAACCTCTCTCAAATTTATTTTATTTTAAATATAATTTCAAGAAGACACTTTTTATTGTAACATGGAACTTCAATATAAATGTTTTCGACATTATTTTTTTTTTAAATAAAAGGTCTATGTAGTTAATGAGTCTCACAGGATGTTTGAGTTCATTGAAAGAATTTTCAGGCCGCTGTCAGTAATTTTTATATTTACTTTCTTTTTCAGTCATGAACTATATTAGAAAAAGGATATAATCAGAGGTGGAGCTAAGTTGGAGTTCGAGTTCATAATTTTAGTGTTAAAAGCATTTTAACGGTCACTTCTTTACCATTGAATCATTAATCAATTTTTTAAGAATTTACAAATTAATATACATATATATTTATTTGATTTTTTAGTATAAATATAAAATCTATGAAAAAATTATTGGATTAATTCATTCAAACTCATAAACCCACCTATCTCCGCCTCTGAATATAATATACATTTAATCCCATGCCATAAAAAGAGAAAAAGATTATAATTACGTAAAACAGTTTTGTAGCTTTTGTCCTTAATATGATCATGTGCCACGAAGTTTGGGTAATAATAATTATTGTTAATAAAATAAATAAAAGTGAAACACATGGAGTCACATGATTTTTTGTAACTTTCACATGCATGACCTCCAATATATATCTTCTCACCGTTAATTTAAACATTATAATATTCTATCTAATCTTTCATATAGGACTTCACAAAGAAAGTTTTCATAGGGACGATAAAAGTGTTTTTATTAGATATTTTTGTTCAATTTTTAGAATTTTAGGAATTATAAGGTTGGGCAATTGAATCTTTGCTAAAGTGAAAGTTCATATAGTTAATTAGCTGAGTTATTAAAATTTACTTCTCAAATATCTCTTAAATAGTTAAATTAATTATATAAAATATATATTTTTTAATTATAAAAATTAATCTCGGTGAAACAAGCTTGAGATTTTACCGTGCTTATTAAAGCTAATGCATATTATTAGATGACATATTTTAAGTAGTTAACTTATTTACGCAATGAAAACTTAACATGAAAAAAAATCACAATTAAAATCAAAAGTATCTAATTTTTAAGAACACTAATTTATAAAATATTTTATTAGATATGTAGGTGCTCAATCAGAATAAATTATATATATACCCTAGGCCTGTCTACGTGGCGCCACCACAAATTAGGATTCCTTTTTAAATTTATTTATTTTCAAAACAAGTCTTTCCCTTTCATGAAACGTTGTGACTTTTATGAAGAGTTGCGACTTTTATGAAAAGTTGTGACCTTTATGAAAGGTTGTAACTTTTCCAAAGAGTTGTGACCTTTCTGATAAAGCACAATAAATATTTGTTGACACTACCCTTTGTTGTCTATAAATAGAGGGATTTCCTCTCATTTTAAAACAATGAAAATTCTGAATTTCTTCTTCTTCTTCTGCACAAATAAATATTTGTGTACTTTGCTCCTGTTGAGTGACTTACTACACCATTGTATTTGTATCAATACACTTGTGAATAGAATTGTTCTATCTCGAGAGGATCTATTCCCTTAAACCTCGGGTATGTAGAGGGGAATAGTTTCCTTAAGGGGACATTGTGCATTCAGTGGGCTCAATTTTTCCTTTTCTGTTACATTATATTGTTACAGATCCAGGTATGTTTTTTTACAGTCATTAATTTATGCTTATGTTATTAATATAACACTTTAAGATTTCGAAGGAATGTTTTGCCTTAAGATAAAATGTTATTAACAATGTAGAGTGTATATCGAAAGTACAAATATTTCTGAATAATCTTATGTAAGATTAATAAAAGAGTTCAATTTCGTACGAAGCATGAGTAATTTACCTAGTTATTAATATAAAAAAAAAAACTATTAATCAAGTCAAGCACTCATGTCTCCATCCATGCAATTTGCATGCACCGACATGAAAAGTCCACTTATATTTAATTTTTATAATCTTTGCATTTTATTTTTGGGTTCTTTTTATTAATTATTTTTTCCATAAAAAAAAATAATGTAGTCCTTTCACCAAAAATATGGAGGAGTTTTCTTGGACTCTATACTAGTTATGTCACAATGCCACATGGGTGTTGGCCTAATTTCCTAAGTTTCTTATATGGTATTTTCTCTGTATTAATTTATGTGATATTTTTCATTTTCCAAAAGTTAAATAATTTAAGTTTAGTCAAGAATTTACACATAGAATTGTCAATTTTTTTGAAATAAAATGTATATAATTGTAAACTACGTAGAAAGTATTATAAGTCACAATAATTGATTATTCAAAATGTTTAAAAGATCTATGAAAAACTTATGGTAAAAAATAAACTTAATTGAATCGCGAAATTCGAAAAGTGTCACATAAAATGAATGGAGAGAGTATAATTTATTATTTATTTTTGTAGAGGTTTCCCTTCTCCTTCTTGAAACATCTTTTTATTTTTTAAATACTATCTCTTTATTTTTTCATGTCATTTGAAAAACTTATCTTTGGTTCAGAAGAACAAATTAAATGTAGGTGGACACTGGACAGTAGGTCAATACAAATTCTTAATGTTAGAGTTCCAATGCAGAGAATATATACTATATAAGATGATTATTATATGCCTTTTGCATGGTATATGTAAGGTCCAATATGTTGCAACAAAACAATACTTGGGAATTATGGTCATTTCAAGAGTTTATTTTACTATTACTTAATTAGATATTTTGAGTTTAAATTAATGATCTGAGTTTTTATATAGAAGTGCTCTTTTTTAAATGGACTTATACAATATAAATTTAAATTAAGGAAAAAATAAATTATCTAATTATATAAATAATTCTACCATATTTACTAATTCTTTCTATAGTTAGAAATAATTATATATTGTCTCATTGATTAATAATTTCCTATCAGATTTCAAGTTAGATACACTTAAACACATGTATTTTTACTCATAGGTACAATTAAATAGGGAGAGAGGTGTGCTAGAGAAGGATGAAGACAAACAAGATAGTCTATGTACCCCAATACATACGAATCACACTAAATACATGTATCTGAAATATTTATACAAAGAAAGTGGCGAGCGAGAGAGGACAGAGGCGAGCAAGAGTCAGATACATGTGAATCCACTTGGATATATACATTGTATCTAAAATTACACTTAATTTTGAGTATATGTATTCGAAATATATATATATATATCTGGACACAGATAGAAGTCCAAATTCTAATAAGTTAAAGTAATAATGAAAAGTAAAGGAAATAGAGATAATTAAGTACTAAAATAATGAAAACTCTGTTAGTTACCATTAAATTAATTGAAACATCAATGTATAAACTTAATGGCGGGGCTAAAATATTATTGTATTAAAAGAAGTCTATATATATGGAAAAAAAATTAAGAGGTTAAGAGATTCGATATATATTATGTATGTAAATAGAAAAATTGACCTATTATACAAGATAATTGGCTTTCGTCGTAGCTCCGCCCCAATAAAATTTCACTCATTATAAATTATATTCCAAAATATATGTAATTAGTTAGGGATAAGTATAAACATATTCAAGAAGATAACTTTATTTTTAATAATCCTTTTGCCATATCCTTTGCATTTCCAAAAGGAAGAAACAAAAAAAAGACAAAAAAAAGAAGAACGAGAAAACATAAATTAGAGACCCTCTAATTATGTCACTCGTGGGTTTCATTTTTTATTCATAAAAAATGAATAAGCCATTTATATTGACCCTTTTTGTTTATCAATATTCACTTTTTCTGCTTTTTAGCTTAGGGACATTAACAAACAAATGGAGAAATGAACTTTAATAATTGAGCTTTTTAAAAAAAAATCTAGACATAATTCTATGGGCCAAACTATTCACGAGGAACACTTTTAGTTTATTTTGTTTCCAAAATTAATTTCTCTTATAATATATGAATAGAGTGGATCACAAGTTCATTTCCTAATCAACGTAGAATTTTAACCCACTCTAATACCTTCAACAACTAATCAAAATATAATTGAAGCGTGGATCAGGAGTCCAAATAAAAATAAAAATGAATCTAATATCACGTAAATATATGACATATGAACCTAAGCAGATTACCAATTCACACTACAACAAAGAGAGACATGTAATGGCATAGATAAGATTGCCGCAACACACGTTTAACAATAATTGAATTAATGTCAGTACATTCAAAGTTATTAAAGCCTTTAGTAGCATTTATATAAAGTATTGATTATAAATACTCATATTTGTTATTGCCGCTAAATATTATAAAATGACAATTATATTATTGTCACTAAACAATTATCACAAGCTCATTAATAATTTGACGGTGGCCGGAGTCGGAGAAGCAAGACCCGATCACGGCGGAGAACGGCCAGTAATTGGTGGTGCACATTTTTCCACTATTAATTTAAAAAAATCACTTAAAATTCAACATGTCGGCAATAATGAAACAAGCACATGCACTATTTTCAAGAAAAATTATGAATGTAAAATTAATGTAATAATACTCCAATTTGTTTGTCTTCTTTTGTTATTGTTTTTTTGTGTGATCACAAAAATAATATGTGATGTTTGTGCAAAACTATATAATAAAATGATGATACTTAAAACAACCAAAATTATATGATGTTGTGTTTAGTTTTAGAGTTTGCAAAAATTAAGCTTACAAAATATATAAGAGTAATTCATATGTGAATCAAATTAAATAAAAGTTAACCTTGGCGTGATCAATATAAGAGTCAAGCATATTATTTCCTCCGTCCTAATTTATATGAGTCAGTTTGATTTGATACAAAATTTAAGAAAGAAAGAAAAGCTTTTAAAATTTGTGTCTAAAATAAGTCATAGATATTTCATATTTGTGTGAGAAAGCTATAAATAATTTCATTAAAAAATAAAATAGACATTTTAAAATTAAATTGTTACATTAAATATATAAATGTGTCATTCTTTTTGTAACTGACTAAAAAAATGTAAGTCATATAAATTGTGTCTCTTGATATGTTTTTCCCCTTAAGTACTCAAGGATTTATCTAAGACATTATTTCTACTTCTTAAATTAAGAATAAGACGTTCGTACATTCTACACGCTTGCTCGATCTGTTCAATTGAGGCCTTATAATGCAATCACATTCTCTGGTTCAATTGTTGATTTTGTTTATGTATTTCTAATTTATCCGCTAGGTCAGTCTGATTGGTTCCTTACACCTAGTTTTGATGTAGCAGCTACATTTCGATCCATGCTATTTCTTCAAGGACTTCATAATTGGACCTCTCTTCAAAAACTCACTTATAAAGTTACATTAATTATTTTATTGTTATTGTTACCGTCTAAATACGTACATATAATATAACTATTATATTTAGTGGCTTTCACTCACTAAATACGTACATATAATATAGTAATTATTTTAGGGTTTACCAGCATTAATCCGTGGGTGAGTTTAATTTAATTAATTACAATATGCATGGGCCAACACTTCAAATCATTTGGATAAGATAACCTCACAGGATTTTAATTACTATGAGTGCACCGATAAATTAAAGCTCAATTTATTATGAGCTGTCTCTACGAATCATTAATTAAATCCCATATCAATATGCAATAAATAATTAATAATGTTTATTGCCTATCAACATGTCATGAAAGTCGATATCAATAGGGGTCCTCTTGTTTAACGTAATCAACCTAACATAGATATAATGTTAGGCAATCACACATCACAATTTATAATATTTAAATTCTGAATTCGTTTCAAAATACGGTATTTTTCTCTTTTAAAACTGAGAAAGAAAAAAGAAAGACCGAGTCTTGTAGATCTACTGCTTCAGTAAAATCGAGTTGGGTGTTGCTTCCTTCTCCTAGTTTTGTGTGTCTTTTTCGGCGATCTCAATATATTTCAGATTCTGCTTTCATCTGAAGATGAAGTAGATATCATTAATATAACTCACTTGTCTTGGTTCTTATTTAACGAATCAACCTAACATAAATATAATGTTAGACAATCACACATCACAATTTAAACTATTTAAATTCTGAATTAGTTTCTAAACCGCTAAAAGCAACAACTAACATTACGTACACGACTATATACCTTTCTTTATTCACCATACATGAGAAATTCAAAATTGATAATCTCATTCCATTCTTTGCTTTTTACCAAAATCACACTTTATCCTTTTTTAGATTAAAAAAAAAAGTATCACTAAGATAACAATAAAAAGGAATTATGGAAATTAATGGATATAATGGCCCGCACCTTTTTTCCCATAAATTAATAAACTTTTAAAATGCATTACTAAAAATGACATTCTATCTTTATGTGTCAAAAGATTATCCTAATAATGCTTTTCAATAATGCAAATCAACATCTTTCTTATCCCAAATAAGATCATAATAATACAACCCCACTTTTTATTTCCTTTTTAGCATTTAATTATTTTTCTATATAAAAAAAAATCAACAAATCCTTTACCAATTTTTTTTCAAAAAGGCAAATTTATATTATCCACATAATGGCTCCACCATTACAAAAGCTATTAATCATACGATTCATCATTTCCACCACATATTTGAAGATCTAATTAGTCAATTATTATCCTCCTTTTTTTTGTAGTAAAAATTTCTTTTTAGACATCCTTCTATGGGTCTCACTTAACTTTTTAATCCTGTTGTGATCTTTATGGAAATAGCCGATCAAATTCATTATTTATTTTTGAGTTAAAGAGTTAAAAATATATTTAAAGTATTTTAATTTTTTTGAGTCTCGTATATGAGTTATTACCAAATGTCTATTGAAATACACTAATACTATATATGATTGTTCACTTTTCATATATGAAATTTTACGTATGAAATTCAAATAACTGATAATTTAATTATATTTTAATAAACATTTGGTGATAGTACGGATAGAATCTCACAAATCTAATAGCACTCAAACTCCCATATATTTTAGGTGTGTTTTTAATCCTCTCTTCTTTTTTTTCTGTCCGATTTATATATTTTTATATTATATATATATGAACTGACTATTTTTAAAATGAAGTAGTTGAACGAGCATTATTTAGTTATTTTTGTTTTTCATTTAATGTTTGGTATTCGTATTGAAGTTCGATTATATCAAAATTTGTACCACATAGGATCCCATTAGAAGAAAAGGACTCCCTATCTCATGTCAAAAACTCAAAAGCGAGATCTCTCATTAATATTCGTTATTTAGGTTAAGTTTTCATTTTTATGAAGGGTAAGGGTGAAAAGACACGTGGAAGAGGCTGAACTAATTCCTGACCGTCCGATCTAACCAGACCATAAAGATTAGGTGGGGAAGGTTTAAAGTGGGACCCATGTTACACGTGGGCCAATAAGCAGAAGTAGACAAAAAGGGGAACACAAGCACATGATTCCCCACAAGCACTGGATCATAAAGTTTTTTCATAAATTGCACATTTCTTCCTTCTAATTTTCTAATATTACACATTTCTTCCTTCTCTTTAAATAAAATAAATTGTATGAACATATCACCCCATTTAAATAAACGATCAAATTTCTCTAAAATAACGTCATTCATTTTAATATTCATCTAAATGTTAAACAAAATGCTATCAGGAGAACTTAATTGTTATAATAAAACGTTACAAAATGATTGTTATAAAAAAATCTGACACAAAATTTAAGAATATAACAAAACAAAAGGAGATTTTTGTTTTAAAGAAATAACTATATTTAAGTTACATTAAGGTTGGACAAAAAATTAATAGAAGGAGAAGAAAAATGAATTAAGAAAGAGTATAATTGTCTTTAAATATTCCAACTATTTAATTGGTAATTCAAAATTAAGTTATCGTTTGACCATACATTAAAAAGTAGATTACAAAAATTTATCTTTAAATATTTATTTGACCACAAATTTTGATATTTAAATATTTTTAAATTCAAATATAAATTCAGATTTCAAAAATCACAACTTAAAAAAAATTCAAAGTTTCAAATTTTAAATTTTAAATTTCAACTTCAAAATCTATAATCAAACACGAGCTTACATTTTAAAAGTAGATTACAAAAAATTATCTTTAAATATTTATTTGACCATAAAATTTGACTTTTAAATATTTTCAAGAAATACAAATTTCAAAAATCACAACTTAAAAAATTCAAATTTTAAATTTTAAATTTAACTTTAAAATCTATAGTCAAACACGAGTTAAACCAAGAGAGGTACGTCTTGATTTACAAGTCAGTTGGGACTATATTATGCAATATTGTCAAACTAGAAGGATGTATCTGCAATATGATTTGATTTAAGATCTAAATAATCCCAAAACTAATTAATTATTTCCCATAAATTAAAAATATTTAATTAGACAATTTTTCAACAATTCATGTTCACTCCATTTAACTGCCTTCTTCAAAGCAAAGTAGCGATTCTTCTGTACTCAGACACGTTTTCTTTCACATTTATTTCTCACTTTTTCTCAAAGAAATCATCTCAATTTTGCTTCTTCTTCAACCCCTTTTCAAGATTCTGTCAATTTCTTCCTTTAAAAACTGTAATTTTCTTCATCTTTTCTCTGTAAAACTTCATTTTTGGTCCATTTTTGATGATGTTTATGTATGGAATAGTGTAAAGATTTCATTTTTAATGATGTTTATGTATGAAATAGTGAAAAGATTTCACTTTTAAGTGATGGGGTGTTGATATTTTTGATTTTGGACAGAATTTCAAGATTTGGGAAATGCAGATGATATCTATGGAGGTGGTTTAAAAAGGATCAGTTTTTTTGAAATGGCTGGTGATATTGAAGAACCCTTTAGGCATAGTTTTCAGGTATTTTATTTTTTTAGAAAATAAATTCCCTTTGGATCTTACTCTTTGTTTACTGTGATATATTCATTTGTATTTCTTTGGTTAAATTTTTGTTTTCAAATGTGTTATACTGATGGATTTGGTAGGAGGATATGTGTTCTTGTGGTTTTAGTTGATTGGGAATGAAAAAGGTGGAATCTTTATTTGATTGGTAATTCAGGAGATTGTATTTCAGTATTAATTTGTCTGTTTTAGGTGTTGAATATGATTAATTATGAAAAAAGAAGATGCATATAATCAGTTTTTGTGAATTAAATTTGGACCCTTTTCTAAGCGGTTTGAAGCGGTTACTGAATTTCTAGTAGTTTCTTTTTTTGTTTTTTTATTGACTTGAAAACTCATGGTTGCTATGTTGCTTGTACTCTTCAAAAGTGTCAATAGTGTTGTGTCGGATTTTCCAAAAATAGTGTATTTTTGGAAAGTCAGACATGGATGCCGGATCGAAAGTGAAGAGTCTTGTGCAACTTAGCATGCTTGTCACATCTCTCTTTATTACTTACTTCCTACTTCAATGAGGCATGGAATGAACTTTGTTGCCTGCTTTTTCGAGTGTGGTTGTAAGATCTTGCTTTCAGTTCGAAATTGTGTATGTTGCTTACTTGTACAATAGTGCTTAGAGAGTAATTGGGAAGCATTCTCCTTGCTCTCCTCGGGTTAGTTATGGATCCATAACACTTCTATGAGATCATATTAAATGCTGGAATGCATGCTTATTCATTGATTGAAATTTGTTACAATGAACTTTTAGTGCAAATGATTTTTGAGAGTTTCGATGTCTCATATAATTGGTCATATAAGTATGTTAGGATATACTACTTGAGACATTAATAATCAGACCATTAGGGGAAAGTGAAGATTTTCCATGAGAACTAAATCTATGAGGCTTTTTTACTTGATATATGATTACTCATTACTCGGTTTTGCATCCTGATCTTAATTTACTTACCATAATTGACAGGCAGATTCGTGGCAATCGGGATCTATCTCATTCGGTAGATTTGAGAATGAAAGTTTATGTTGGGAGAGGAGGTCTTCTTTTACACATAACAGGTATCTTGAAGAGGTTGAGAAATACTCCAAGCCAGGTTCTGTAACTGAGAAGAAAGCATATTTTGAGGCACGTCTTAGAAAGAAGGCACTTCTACGCCAGAGCTCATCAGAGTGGCAGAATGGGACCGAATCTCAAGTTAGTGAAAATGATGGCCATGAGAATACAAGTTATGAGGGGGACTTCGAGCATGTTAATGAGATTGGCCATTCGACACGCTTCGTTGAAAATCATGATAGATCAGCCAATTTACTGGAGAATGAAAAGTATAGTGAAAATGATGTCACTGAAAATGAAGGCTATGCGGGGGACTTTGAGCATGTTAACGAAGATGGCCATTCTGCACACTTTGATGAAAGTATTGATAGATCGATCCATTTATTGAAGAATGGAAAGTATCAAGCTGAGAACACAGGTTATGATGGTGACTTTGAGCGAGTGAATAAGGTTGGTCATCCTACACGCTTTGAAGAAAGTCTTGATGGATCTCACAACGGAGACATCGAGGTCACAGAATGTGGTGGAGTAGATAGTATAATTCTCCATTCTGGACCTCAGACTGAACTAGCTACCGATAGTTCCGATGTTCTTCAAAGTGTTCCTGAACATATGGAAGCTGAAGCAAATTTTCATCTCAATGCTGGAAATTCAGCTTTTGATGATGATCCTAAAACTGAGATTGAAGTAAAAGTGAAACTAGAGGGCCAAGATAGCAGTATGGAGTTCTCATCAAACTCTGTTGATCTATCCTCTAATGCTCACGCCACTGAGAAAGATGGTAGTGTTAATTCAGAACCTCAACGAAGTTCATCTTCAAAGGTAGACCTCTTTTAGCATTTGTGACTATTAATCTTCAGTTATTACATCAGTTTCCCATCTTGCTTGCTGACTGTAGTAAGCTATTATAAATATTAGCATTTGTAGTCTTATTCGGAGAGCAGAAAATTTTCGCCCCTTTATGTAGTTTGTCTTGTGCTCAAAATGCAGGTGAGGACTGTATCTCAATCTAGAGAAACAAAATCTAGGATGTTGTCCCAAGTTAGTGTTGCTAGTGGCAAGGGGACAATCTCAAAACAAGCATATAAAGACATGCCAAGTAAACCAAATAGAAGGCATAGTGACGTTTCCTTGACACGAAAAGGAGAAAAGCCCAGATTGGACGCTCCTGGCGCTCTTTTGCGTTCAACAGCGAGAATGCCAAAATCAGAGGTTTGTATCAGATTAAGGCTTAGTGTTATCTTCAAATTTCAAGGCAGATGAGTAAACTTGCTATTTTAACGCTGTGGAACTATTGCTCAACTTTTTTTTTAGTCAGATTATACTTCAGTAATTCTTAATTGATTATCGAATTTATGGTAGCCGATACCTTGCCTTGTACAGGTTTGTTCGGGTTCAAAAGCTAATGTACTCAATCAACAGAAAAGGTATGCTTCTTAATCATGTCTTCCAAATGGAAAGTTTAGGATATTTTGGTCGCACTGATTCATCCTAATTTTTCCAAACTTGTTTTTTATTGAATGATGTAGCACCGAACAACAGCCTAAAGCAAGAAAGGCTGCCGCTTCTCGTCCTTCCTGTACAGAGAAAGTTAGTCATAGAGTACATCAAAGTGTAAACAGGTATACATGGTGGGAAAATTGTGATCTTTAACTCCGTATTGTGTTCATAAACATTTTTCTTATACATATTATTGTTGTACAGGGATAAGCAGAGTGTAAGTTCATGTCAACCAGGCATGAAACAGAATGGATCTGGTTTCCTTTTCAAAAGTGAAGAGCGCGCCAAGAAAAGGAAAGAGGTAAGGACTGGTTTCTTGCGTCAATTCGATGTAAGTTTAAAATTCATATATAACCTAAATGAAGTTTTTGATATTGACTCAGTTCCTTATGAAGTTAGAGGAGAAAATGCATGCAGTTGAGGCAGAAAAACATCAGCTCCAAGCAAGAACTCAGGTAATAAACTCGGGCAATGATTCTTGTGACTGTTGGAAACAGGTTTGGATTGATATAGAGAATCATTAGGTGGATTTCTGTCGATGCTAGCTTTAAAATGTCATTGGGATAAATTCTGTTAGATTTTCTTCCATCTGTTTAGACTTGTATTATATATCATTTGCAGCTATGAGTTAGATGAAGTTTTTTTATGATCAGTAACCATGATAAATGACATTTTGATTTGCTTTGTGATATCTATAGGTAAAGAAAGAAGCAGAGTTAAAACAGCTACGGAGAAATCTCAATTTCAAATCAACTCCCATGCCTGCCTTCTACCATGAACCTGGTCGTCGGTCAGACAGAAACAAGGTATTAACAAGTCACAGATAATGAGAATGTTCGGAGTCCCAATACTCAGCTTTCTGTTTCTCAACTGTATTCTTCTCTTGTTTTCTATTTTCCTATGTTGAAATTAGGATGCTTCAAAACCACACTCTTCAGCATACCATTCTCATTTGAAAGTACTTGAGAAAATATGTTTACAAGCTGTTATACTGGTTATAGTATAAGCCCTTGATCAAGATTCAAGGGAAACATTGACACTAAAGGACGGAATAGAGAATCTTGTACCTTGATCTTCTGATTATGATTACCTTTAGGGCCCGTGATAAGCAGCATACTCTCTTGCTTCTCTTAGAAAGGTTTTTTGGTGGAGCCAGCCGTTGATTTCTGGAATGTCATGGTTGGAAACTTTTCACTGTCTAACATTCTCTCAAGACCGAAAGCTAAATGTGTTATGGATATTATCCTTTCATATGGATGCAAGTAATATGAGAAAAATGTCTTACTAATTATCTGTCAGTCTCCTTGCTTATGAGTGTCTGCACTTGTTCATCAGTTGGTCTTCATCCTTATACTCCTAATAAGTGATTATTTTTCCCTCTCGCTTCGATAGAACAAATCATATAACTTGCTTTGTTGATTAATTTTTCAGGAGTTAGTAAGTAAAACTAAATCAAGTAAATCACAAAGCAGACCTTCGACTTCAGGGGCTAGAGCTACTAGTGCAACAGAGAACACTGTTCCTTGTTCCACTAGTGAACATCTAAATGTGGCTGATTCACCACAGGTTTCAGAAGTAACCAATCATCCTTCAGCAGAGTTATCTGACAGCAGCATCCCATCTTCAGCTCCAACAAGCAAAACGTCCTGGCAGACTCGATCAAATAGAACAGTAGCTCCAAAGAGAGAGCAAGATAAAAGGCAGGTCCTGAATTCTCCAAGACCGAGAACAGCAGATACAAACAAGGGAAACAAGGGCTTCAAAGCTGAAGAGAAAACAAAGGTGGTTGCGCGAAGATCAATAGGAAACAATGCAATGAGAAAAGATATTAGAAGTATTGATTTGAGCCATAGTACAAGAGTGGGTCGTTTAGCTGTTGGTGTTGCTTCCTAGACGCATCAACTTCTACGTCATTTAAGACTCATCATGTCAGCAAGATGGATCAAGTATGAAGGTAACATGATGAGCTTGCTAAGTCAGGTTGTACTGTGTGAATTCTCTCATATTTCTCAACATAGCAAAGGCGATGGATCTCGTATCCGAGACGATATACTTAGTGTGTAGGTTAGCATTTCTGCTAGATATGCTGTATGTAATTATTCCTAGTTGGGATAGTTAATAATTATGAACCTCTTTAAGTCAAGTTCTTGAAATACCATAAATGCTGTGCTGTTAAAGCTACTCACTTTGAGTAAAATGTTAAGTTGCACTACTTTGCAGTGTTTCTGCCATTGTTTTAATACTGAAATCTCTCTTTGATCAAATGTTTCAAAGATTGGTATAGCATTATCATCTAGATAGCAAGTTTTAAAACAAAAGCCAGAAGAATATTAGAAGTTATGCACCTAAGTAAGATTTGTATATCTGTGAAGAATAGTTTCGGTGCACTAAGCTTTCGCTATTGGTACATCGAAGGGCCAGACCACAAGGTCTCTGGTGCACCATATGTGGGGTCCGAAAAGGGCTGGACCACAATCAGGAATATTTTTGTTGACCTATGTTGAAGGGATATCTTTCTAATCTAATTGAAGTATCATGACAAACTTCTATCTCATCGGATTAAAGTTCAAACTATTAGAGAGAAGAATATTCAATTTTTTAGATATATAACACGTATCTTCTAATATACGAGTTCTTGGGACAGAGATGTTGATATAGTTGATTGATGAGCGACAACCTCACTGAGAAGTACTTCTGTTACCTAGTATCATGTTGAATTGAGTGAATGTCTCATTTAAAGGTTCAACATGCTATCTATATAACATATTTATTTATTCGTCGATCGTGTATATCATTATCTTTCCTCTCCCTCCCCCTCCCCCTCTCCCCACCCCACCACCATTGTTGGTAGTTGATAGGTATCTCTCATAGAGACTAGTCACTAAAGCACAGCCGGTCATTTATTCTAATTAAATACATATACTTAGCAATATACTATTTAACTTATATTATTGCTTAATGACTAAAGAGTCACCATCACAAACAAATCATCAAATCAATTCATGCCATAATTTGAGATTAATTAACATCATATATTTGCTAATCTATCAAGTCTTTAATTAATTGCAAACCATAGAGGAAAAACGAATATTAAATGAGATTGTGACATTTTAACATCTTAAGCTACTAGACAAAATATCACTCTCTTTTAGGGGTGTGCACTATTTGGATTAAACCAAAAAACCAAATCAAATCAAACCGAATTCTAATTTGGATTGGTTTTTTGGATTTTTGGTTTGATTTTGGATTTGAAAAATGAAACCGAAAACCAAAAAACCGAATTATATATATATATATATATATATATATATATATATATATATTTAGAATTAAGTTGGAGTTAACCACTTTTGTTCCTTTTTAGTTTATTTTTTTATGTTTGGACATCAATAATTGATATACTTTTAAGTATTGTGTTTGACTTGTGATTTATATTAAAAAAGTATAGTTAAGAAATTCAATATTATATATATATATATATATAATTTTTTAAAAACTGCAAATATAACTTTGTTATGTTTCTAATTATTGACATAACCGATTAACCAAAAAGAGAAAAACCAAACCAAACCAAATTTGTTTTGGTTTGGATTGGGTTACACTTCTTCAAAACCAAAAACCAAAAAATCCAAACCGAAAAACCGAATGCACACCCCTACTCTCTTTTAATGTTAATGTCCAAATAAATCTCTCACAGCCTGTTATTAATTTGTGTTTTATTTCTTCAAATAATTAATTTCCCACCTCTCAGTACTGCCCAAAACATGCTTTAAAATAGACAGAAAATTGTGGTATTTTTTTTCTTTTATTGTGTTTCAAGATATATATATATATACCTTAAAATTTTCTACTTGATTCGAGGGTGTATCGAAAATGAGTTTTCTGTCTTGTCAATGTAAGGATAATATTTGTATACACACCATCTTCTATAGACTTCACTTAGGAAATTACACTAAATATGCTCGATTGTTGGTGTATATGTTAAAGAAGTTACTGTCATGTGACGATGAGGTCACAAGTTCAAGCCTTGAAAACAACCTCTAGCAGAAATGCAAGATAAGACTACATACAATAAGTCCTTCTCCGGACCTTGCACATAGTGAAAGCTTTAATACACCAGACTGTTTTTTTTTTTTTTTTAAATGTCACAGAAGGTTACTTGTTTTATTTTTAGTAACTAAACAAAACACAAAATAAACCAAAGAAAAAAGAGGGGAAGAAAACAACAAAAAGGCAAAAGGAAGTGATGCAAGTAGCATGAATTTTTGGGGAAAGTTGGTTGTCAATTGTCATGATAGGGAAGGAGAAGGCACTTGTTCAAAAGAGAGATCAAAATTAGGTGGTGGTTATGATCTTGTAGAAGCCTAAGCTCATTCTGTGATAGAATGGATGAAATTCCTTCATTGAGATCAAAATTAGGTGGTGGTTATGATCTTGTAGAAGCCTAAGCTCATTCTGTGATAGAATGGATGAAATTCCTTCATTGAGATCAAAATTAGGTGGTGGTTATGATCTTGTAGAAGCCTAAGCTCATTCTGTGATAGAATGGATGAAATTCCTTCATTGAGATCAAAATTAGGTGGTGGTTATGATCTTGTAGAAGCCTAAGCTCATTCTGTGATAGAATGGATGAAATTCCTTCATTGAGATCAAAATTAGGTGGTGGTTATGATCTTGTAGAAGCCTAAGCTCATTCTGTGATAGAATGGATGAAATTCCTTCATTGAGATCAAAATTAGGTGGTGGTTATGATCTTGTAGAAGCCTAAGCTCATTCTGTGATAGAATGGATGAAATTCCTTCATTGAGATCAAAATTAGGTGGTGGTTATGATCTTGTAGAAGCCTAAGCTCATTCTGTGATAGAATGGATGAAATTCCTTCATTGAGATCAAAATTAGGTGGTGGTTATGATCTTGTAGAAGCCTAAGCTCATTCTGTGATAGAATGGATGAAATTCCTTCATTGAGATCAAAATTAGGTGGTGGTTATGATCTTGTAGAAGCCTAAGCTCATTCTGTGATAGAATGGATGAAATTCCTTCATTGAGATCAAAATTAGGTGGTGGTTATGATCTTGTAGAAGCCTAAGCTCATTCTGTGATAGAATGGATGAAATTCCTTCATTGAGATCAAAATTAGGTGGTGGTTATGATCTTGTAGAAGCCTAAGCTCATTCTGTGATAGAATGGATGAAATTCCTTCATTGAGATCAAAATTAGGTGGTGGTTATGATCTTGTAGAAGCCTAAGCTCATTCTGTGATAGAATGGATGAAATTCCTTCATTATTAATTAAAATTTTCAAATTTAAACTTGAAAATGAGTTTTTTTTATAAAAGATTTATCTAAAATTAATCGAATCAATATATTACAAATATTAAATAATACTAGCTAGTTGTAACCAAGAGATTGAAGAAGCCTTATATTGACCTCAAAACTAGAAGGGTGGATCCAAATGTCCATTTTTGTATGTATATGTAAATACAATAAATGAAGAACGATATAGAAGAATCTAATTGCCAAACGTAAAAGCCAAGACTCTTGAAAACTTGATTTTTTGCCTTCCTATTACTCATTTTAATATTTGATTAATTTGAATTTACAAAAAAAAAAAAAAAACACTTCTTACTAAAAGTAATTATAATTTCAAACCCATAAAAACCTTTAACGAAGGATGAAAAAAGTGACTTATCAACACGTAAATTTTGCTTCATTTAAAAAAGACATAATATATAAACATACACTTAAGTTTGATTTCAATTAATACGTAAACACTCCTTACTTTAAGAGTGTACATCTAAACACATCAACTTAGTAATCTCTTAATTTACCCTTAATTTTGATACGTAAACACACCTCACTTTAAGAGCGTACATCTAAACACATCAACTTAATAATCTAAACTGACAGCTAAGCACTTCAATTCGTTTCTACTGTACCTCGTAAACACCTAACTCTAACACAACACATAAATTTTAAAAGTGTCTTTCATAATCATTTTGTCTAACACAACACGTAAATTTTGAAGGTGTCTTTCATAATCATTTTGTAAGTTTGAGTGTTTGTTATTGAAGAAGAAGAAAAGTTTCCATTTTGTGCACATAAAAATCAAGAAACAGAGGAACTCCTCTGTTTCACATAAACTCAAACACACATAAAAATTGAAACTGATGATCATTAATTAGACATTAAATCAACATGTTGTCCACTACTAATTACATCAAAATTCACTTGCACATAGATAATAACTAATGAAAAAAATTAAACAAAAAATATTACTACTACTAATAAACTAATCATCTTCTTCCATGTGGTTCTTGATGATGAAGATTGATCAAGATCAGAATGAGGAGGTTTTCTATAATAATATGGAAACCAAGGGACAATTGGTTCTGGTGGTGGTGGTGCTTCACCATTACCATAATCATTAGGTGGAGAATTCAAATATGGGATATTGTTGTAACCATATGGTGGTGGTTGATAGGTGGTTGATGGTGGATTTGGGACATATCCACCTTGTGGGGTTGGTGGGGTTGTGGTGGTGGCCGGAGGAGGGTTGTTTCCGGTGAGGCCGGTCGGAGGAGGATAACAAGGGTAAGCACATTCTTGAGATGTGATTCTTGCCGGAAAGTTGAGGAGGAGTGTTACAAGTGGAAGAAGATTTAGTAGTGTGAATTTAGAAACCATGTTTTGTGTTTTTTGTAGAAAGAAATGGAAGGGCAATAGTGAAAAAAAGAAGGTATTAAGATAATGAAGTAGAGGTTTGAGTTAATGGGGGTGGGGGTGGGGGATCAAGATTGTAGAC